TTTATTTAATTGAAACATTCTAAAAATTGAAATATGAAACAGTGAGAAATAGAAAACTTGAAAACTCGAAAAATCGAAGTTCAAACATCTAAAAATTAGATAATCGAAAAATCGAACAATCGGGATCGAAAAATTGAAATGAGAAATGAAATAATTGAATAATCGAAAAATCAAAATTGTTAAAAAACGAAAAAAAATTGTTAACAAAAACTGCGGTCTAAAAATTCCTTCAATTTTTCAGAAATAAAACCATCAAAAGCCTCCAAATTCTTTGAACTACTAAATCACATTATCAACATAGCCACCCCGTTGTTTTTGTTAACCCTTTCAAGGTTCTGCTCTTATGGACCAATTTATAATCAAAACTCAGTTTGATAAAATTGAACATCAAGAAAATGAAATCGGGCAAGAATGTTTTTTTAGAATTGACGAATTGGGCTCAAACGTATAGCTGAGATTTCAAACATTTTCAGTAAACTTGTCTTTCACTACACCCAATGTGTCCCTAAATGAATGGCGACCAAAAAGGACCCAGTGACAACTTAGAAGACAATGAAACAAGGATCGATCTACAGGATAATCATAGCATTAAAACGCAGTCCAATTTTTTGGAGTAAGGACAGAATAAAGAGGATATAGAACTATACCGGACAAAATGTTTTATGTCAGGCTCGAACCTCGTCGTACTTATATACACTAGAAAATTACTAGTCGTCATAAAATATCGCTAGTACCACGACCATGAACCCCTGTATTAACCAACAGAACATTTCAACTCAAAGAATTTGTGACATTTCGAAACTCGACCCGTGACACCTGTGTGACGCTCACAAAAAACACGAAAAGTGCCTAAGGGCCTAACGGGCAAGGGCCTCAAATCGCACTTTCCTGGAAAAACCAGATCGCCGCGTCCGGTCACGACTCCGAAATCGAAAGTACTGAAGCAATCGAATCAAACCCGAAGAATATTTGTTTATTTTGTGTTACTTTCACGGACACTGCCAGTACGCTTCTAATTGCAGCAGTGATACGTAAGTTTCCACACACAAAACCCATATATACATAGAAACGGAACTCCTCCCCAGCAGTGTGTGTTGTGCACCTACCAAGACCAGAAATGACTCCGCTGGTATGCCGGAACAAAGTGTGATCGAGTTTATGCCCCATGATATTTGCCGACAAACTCTGAATATAAATAGTGTTCTACTTATCACAATCAATCCCGGTTACGTTGATTACCGTGTGCAGTGTTGTGATAACTGATTTCGCACGGATCCGTAATCCAAAATTATATCCCAGTAGCTATGTATCAAATTGTTGTGTTGATGCCTTTTAATGGGAATTCAGTATATCAGGAGGCTTTAAACGCTGCGGCAAGGAGTCTTTCCGAACTAGTGCACGTAACTGTTAATACGTCTTCGGCGACTTATTGTAGAAGACGATGTTGAAAATTTCCTGCCGGCTGTTTATTTCGGTTGTGCTCTCCGCAACGGTGAGTCCCCTATCATTAGCTAAATGCGCTGAAAATCTTCGATTGCTAACAGTTCCAAGAAGTGAGTAAACCTGTTGTTCAAGTTTATGCGGTTGTTATGTTCATGAACACCGCAATTATTACGTTTATAATTACACCGTTTTATCGATTCGCTTGGACGCGCAACAAGTGTCAATTTCCCCCCTAATCCTATCGAGTGTTTTAAAAAGGATTATCAAAACAAGTCATGTTGGAACCGCCAAATCGTGTTTGCACAAGGTGATATTCATGAGGAGAAAAGTGAAAATGGTTGAAACAGAGTCGGTTAATGCGTCCTCGATGGATGTCGTCTCCAGGGGTTTTATGAATTTTAAAATTGGCGTTTTCGAAAGGATGTTAATGTTGTTCGTTTTTGTCAAGCACTCGTGATTTCACTTCTTGTACGCTATCTATACAGTTATGTTGTTAAATAAAAACGCTAATTTAGTACGTGAAAGGTCGTGCAAGTTTGGTCTACAATTTTTTGAAGAATCGAGTTTTAACACTAAAGCTGGAAAAGTGTGACTCTTGTGGTTGCGTAAGGTGTCGTAAAACCATCGTTAAATGTCACACTCGAATGGAAAAATTAAATGTAATTGTTTAAACAATTTAGTGCGTGAGAATACACGGACTGTGTTTAAGCGAAACAAACACTGTTCATCATCATCAAGCGAAACGCTGAAAAATTTCGTTTATTTTTGCAAGCATTTTGCTTTGTAATGATAGGGTAAGTGTGGAGTAATTGGTGCTTTTAGGTGGGAGGTTCGCTAGTTTTTCTCTGAAACTGTTATACACTTTAAAAGTGGTTAACAACCTCGCAGCTATACCGAGCGTTTTATTTTTGAGACATAATAACACAATATTGTTAATTTTTAGCAATGCACAGTTCAATGTTACGATTTTCAAATATTGTTTTTTTAGTTTTTTCAAATAGAACAGACTGTATTGAGATATTGAAAAATTGGTCCAAGGTTATTTCGACACAACTTTCCTGAAATAGAGATTTTTGAAAATTTATAAAGTTTATTTTTTTTTATGTCGAAAATTTTTACAAACTGAAAAATCGAAAAACTTTGAAAATCGAAAAACTGAGATGCCAAGAAATTGAAAAATTGATATACTAAAAAACTTAATAATCGGGATATCGAAACAGCAAAAGGTTTGTTTTTTTTTCTCATTACATTTTTGTAGTGGGAATTTAAAAAAAAAATGTGATGACGTCATCAACATTTTTGCAAGGACACGTATATCAGTTGGGATAGATGTAGTGTAATACTAAGAATAAAATTATTGTGTTCCCAAATTTTCGGGAAAATGAATTGGGTCGTTTTGAATATTGATTTCTTATAATCAATAAAATAACGAAACAATTTACTCACGTATACGGCGCCGGTGTGTAGAGAGCGGATTTCTGTCGGGCTAGGCAAGGCCAAACTCGGTACGGCTCGCACGGGATGCGAATTCATTGCCGTTGCGGACTGCACTTCGTTTATTTGAGATTAGAATAACGTTGTTTCGTTGCACTCTGCTGTTAATTCCCGTTCTCATTTACTTAGCCGTTTGATTAATAAATCGTTAATTATATTTATGGAATCCAGCACGTCCCCCCCTATAATCGTGACGTAGCCCGACAGAAATCCGCTGTCTAGTAATATGAGGGGCAACTAAAAATCGATTATGTATAAACATTCTTAATTTAAGATGACAAGCGTAACAGCATACGTAAGAGCCAAACAGAGAAACTGTAAACAAAACGACCATCGGTTTTATTGCTTCGACTTCCGCTTATTATATAAAACATTGCGTTTTATTTTAATTCTTGACGGTGAAATTCACAATTGGTTGATTATAAACATGTCTATTTCGCATTCGCGGAACCAAGTGACCGCATAAAACAAATGCAGGTCTGTAATGTTAAAGTCGATGTAAATAAGCGTGCTACCCTTATGTTTCAACCGAGTTTTTCCTTTAACAAATTTTGTGTCTACCAAATTGGGTTGGTTGGGGTGTAATACTAATAATAAGTGTTGCCTTTAATTTAATCAATAAAATAAATTGACTTCATTAATTTTTTTGAACCACCTCTTAAGAAAATCTAAAAAATATGAATGGAATGATAAATCACAAGTACAAACTCATCATATTTTTGCATTTTAGATAGGATTTATTCAGCAAAATTTAAGGGTGACGTCATCAATTTTTTTAGGAGGGATGAACAAATACATTTTGAACAAAAGTTTACCATGCTTATAATAACTTTAAAATATTCCCAAGATTTCAAAGCATTCGGTTTTGTAATTCCTGATTAAATCGATAAAATAAATTCACGCCTTCATTAATTTTTTTGAGTCACCCTGCATATGCAAATCCAAAAATATGAATGGAATGATAAATCACAAGTACAGACTCATCATATTTTGTACATTTTAGATACGATTTATTCGGCAAGCTGACGTCATCAGTTTTTTGTAGAAGATAACCAAATATATTTTGACTAAAAATTTATTATGCTCTTTATAACCTTACAACATCTGCAAGATTTCAAAGCATTCGGTTTTGTAGTTCCTGATTAAATCAATAAAATAAATTTACGCATTCATTAATTTTTTTGAGTCACCCTGTATATGCAAATCGAAAAAATTTGAATGGAATGATAAATCACAAGAAGAGACTCACCATATTTTGTACATTTTAGATAGGATTTATTCAGCAAAATTTTGTGGTGACATCATAAATTTTTTAGGGGGGACGACCAAATACGTTTTGATCAAAAATTTACCATGCTTATGATAATTTTAAAATATCTTCAAGATTTCGAAGCATTCGGTTTTGTAGTTCCTGAGTAAATCAGTAAAATAAATTTACGCTTTCATTTATTTTCTTGAATCACCCTGTATATGCAAATCCAAAAAATATGAATGGAGTGATAGATCACAAGTACAGACTGATCATATTTTGTACATTTTAGATATGATTTATTCGGCAAATTTTCGAGCTGACGTCATCAAGTTTTTGGAGGGGATAAGCAAATATATTTTGACTAAACATTTATTATGCTCTTTATGACCTTAAAACATCTGCAAGATTTCAGAGCATTCGGTTTTGTAGTTCCTGATTAAATCAATAAAATATATTTACGCATTCATTAATTTTTTTGAGTCACCCTGTATATGCAAATCCAAAAAATATGAATGGAGTGATAGATCACAAGTACAGACTCATCATATTTTGTACATTTTAGATATGATTTATTCCACAAACTTTTGAGCTGACGTCATCAAGTTTTTGGAGGGGATAAGCAAATATTTTTTGACTAAAGATTTATGATGCTCTTTATAGCCTTAAAACATCTGCAACATTTCAAAGCATTCTGGTTAGCAGATTAAAAATTAAATTTCAAAATATTGTTTTATAATTTTGATTTTTTTTCCAAAAATCTGGACGTTTCGGGTGAAAAGTCGATTCAGAGTTGTAAACTACATGTGTAGGACTATGTTATTTTATTCAATTGAAAACCCATTTACTATGTACAATTTTGAAGTGACGTCATCGCATTAGTGGTGGGGATGATTAGACAAATTTTGGTTAGCGTTTTACCATCTACATGATATTTTTAATACAAGTACAAAATTTCACAACAATCGGTAGAGTACTTTCGGAGATTATCTGTCTAATAAAAATCCGGGACAACAGACGGACAGACGGACAGACGGACAGACGGACGGACAGACGGACAGACGGACAGACGGACGGACAGACGGACAGACGGACGGACAGACGGACAGACGGACAGACGGACAGACGGACAGACAGACGGAAATGGGAGACCTATTTCTTCGTCTTCTAGGGGTCATGAAAGATCGAGAAAACGTAAAAGTAGAGAGTCGGCCGACGGACTCGATTACAATACTTCCTTTGCTTACGCTCGGGAAGTAAAAACAAAAATTTTAAAAATCGAAAAACTGCAAATTTGAAATTTTAAAAATTGAAAAATTTGAAAAACGTTGAAAAATTGGAAAATCAAAAATCGAACAATCGCCATCGAAAAATCGAAACATGAAAAGATCGAAAACGAAAAATTGAAAAACCGGAAAATCTAAAACTCAAAAGTCGAAAGAACGAAAACTGAAAATTCTAAAATTAAAAAATTTTAATAATTGAAAAACTGAAGAGTCAAAAAACTGAGAAATCGAAAAATCGAAGCATTACGAAATCGGAAAATTTTTAAATTTAGAATTTAAATTACCGAAAAATTAAAGTCCCAAAATTGAAATATCGAAAAACTGATAAATTGATAAATCGAAAAGTTAAAGAATTGAAAAACTTAAAAATTCAAAAATTGGGAAATCAAGGAGTTGAAATATCGAAGAGTTGAGAAATCGAGAAATGGGAAAATCAAAAAATCGAAAGAAATTAAATAAAGAAATCGTAGCGACAAATTGAAAAATTGCAAAATCGAAAAATTGCAAAATCGAAAAATCGAAAAATTGAAAAATTTAAACATCGAGAACTCAAAATATGCAAAGATCCAGAAATCAAAAAATTAAAAATCTCCAACTGAAACATCGAAAAATCGAAGACTGAAAAATTGAAAAGTCGATGAAACAAAAAATTAAAACGTCGAAAAATTGAAAAAGTGAAAAATCTAAAACTCAAAAGTCGAAGGAACGAGTGATCAAAACATCAGAAAACTGAAAAATCTAAAATTTAAAAATTTAAAAAATTAAAAAACTGATGAATCAAAAAACTGAAAAATCGAGAAATCGAAGCACTAAAAATGGGAAAATTTTAAAATTGAAAATCGAAACATCAAGAATTTAAACTATCGAATAATCGAAAATCAAAAGTTTAAAAACGAAAAATTGAAAACCCAAAAAATCTTAAACTCAAAAGTCGAAAGAACGAGTAATCGAAACATCAGAAAACTGAAAAATCTAAAATTAAAAAAATTGAATAATTGAAAAACTGGAGAATCAAAAAAT